TTGAATAATGAAGACGATGGAAATGAGGGTAGCAAATGCTTCTTCGGTGAATCTAAACAGCCAAACATTTAGATTTCACGTACTAAAATGAAACTAAGGAAAGAAAGAGAGGAGAGAGAAAGGGAAAGCCTTGAGGTGCAAGTGAGAAAGGATAATTTGACTATTATAACAAGACTAAATTTGTTAGTCCACAACTTTTTATAACAAAGTATGAGCTTTAGCCTTCTAGATAGTAAATGAACGAGGTATACCTAAAGAGCTAAAAGTAGATTATATTTGACGTAGATCTCTGTTCTACAGATAAAAAGCGTTAAGTCCGAAGGTTCCGTACGCATGGTTTGAATTTAACACATTATTGATTTTAATCAGATATGAAAACAACGCTTGCTTCTTACGCCAATATTCAGTTTCTCATTCAGTAAAAATTAAACTAAAATTATGCGGGTTTGAGTGTTAAGTTATATAAAGAAATTGTAAGCCGTTCTCATTCATGTTCTTTTGTGATATGGGAGAAGCTCCCATAAAATTTTGCATAGAAATTCACAAACTACATATATTAGTTCCCCTCCTGTAATACTTGGTTGACTTATGAACACGCTGAGTTTGTTCAGAATCTTATCAGTGAGCGAATGTTTACATTGACGTCTTGATCACAGAGAGTAGTATATATTAGCACATTTTTTTATTTGCAAATTTTCGCATTATTTCTAAGCAAAGCATTCTTTGCAAAATCACATGAACAGTGTCATAACGCAAAAACTGTAAATTTGCGCTCTTATTACCAATGGCAATTAAAATTAATTGTCTGATTTCTAATCTCTAGCTCGTAAAAGATATGTTCACACATTGTCATTACAGTACACTAAACAGGGAAGATTGGGATATAATTAGCCCACAAACCTAGAGATGAGACCGACGAGAGCGGACATATCTGTAGCCGTAAGTATAATCAAAAAAACTGCTATCCATATTCCAACCCAACATCGAAATGGCAAGAATTCCCAGCCATTCCCGCTTAAAGTGTGATTAGTATAGTGATTGCGATTTAACTTTTATGAAAATCAGTTCTTACATGCAAAAATCAAACAATATATTCTCAAAAACCAGTGTAGGACCCGTAGCTGAAAGAATATTGAGCGGTTGACCGGCAAACAATGCGAATATCATTCCAGAAATTCCTCCACTCAGAATGGCTTCAATTGACGCCTCAAGAATATGATTAAGCGATCCATTAGAAATTATAGAATGCTCTTGCAAGTCAAACGTTTACCATCTGATGATGTAAAAGTCGTTCCATTACAGCTCCAAATGTGATTATGGAGGTTATATTGGCAAAGAATAAGAATATGGTAGCGGCTAACGATTGCGATAACCGACCACCGAAGAAATCCACAAAGTCCGACAAATACCACGG